GGTACGTGCAGGTACGGAGAACTCGTCCAGTGGAGCTGTCAGAGGCCCCTACTTAGGGTGTTCTCCGTGTTTTTTTTTGCAGCTTAGTCGCTATGATTACTTAGCGATTGTATGTGAGCGCTGCGACGCGCATACAATAAACGAATATGCTCGCGAAAAAAAACCTAGTGCCAATTTACTGCCCCGGGCGGGTGGAAGGTCTGGTTGGCCTGGAAAGAAGGCGAGCTGGAACATGATCCATGAGATTGAGCATGGGTTAAAAGTGCCGCTTGCCCCTACCCGCCTTTGCCTACAGATGAAGACTACGCAGTAGAGAAATCACTGTATGCTGGATGTTGAACTACAGCTTCTGGCACTGGTTTACATTTGAAGTTTCTTCCTTTCTAGACCTGGGCAAAGGCCATCATTTCATTGGCCAATTTTGCACAAAGAATCCTTCATATGTTCCCTACCTCAAGATTGGTGGCGCCCTTATTTCTGTCACCTCATGCTCAGGTTGTACCGAATCTCCTGAAATACATAAAATTCCAAAATGATTCCCTCTTCGTTTCAGATGAGCAATGAGAAGTACCAAGGCACAGATGACTATCTGATAATCGACAGCGACTTCGAGTCGGTGCCGGAAAAACCAGCTGATGCTATCAAAGGCACATTCACCCATATCTGGAAGAAAGAGGATGGAAATTGGCTGATTTATCATGAACTTTTCGAGATGAACTGAACGAAATCTTGCCTTTTTACCATGTCAGTTTATGCTTGTTTCCTTCTACAATACAACTTTCGCTGTCATCAATTTAGTAGGAGGATTTTTTCAACTGAGCATGTTTTTTCATACCGACTGTTTACTTTCCTGCAATTTCCTTTGCAGAGTGATCTAGTAAACGGGACCGATTTCGTTCTCTCATTTTCCTTGCTAGTCGGATTTTTCAGCCACCACATTACCTAGTATTCGTTCGAGTTCACGTGGTGAAGAATGCTTGCTTGGTTTATAGTAATGCAATAAACTTATGGTTTGCTTCTATTTCAAGCATATTTAGCACATGAGGGAAAAGTAAATATACCCTTAAAAATGTGTTGAAGATAGAAGGAGTCAACAGGAGAGCACTCAAGACGTCGAAATACTGGATGGCCCCACCCTATCCCTCACAACTTCCCAAAGAGCAAAGGATACATAGGATTGCAAACTCGAAGGAAATTTCTTTGATACAAAAAAGCTGCCTGCTTTCTCCAGTGCAAGAGGAGATCAGACTCTACGAAAAGCGCTGGTAGGGTGACATGAAGGCGCACTTTGCGAATGGGTTTTGCTAATACGAAAAATTCGCGAAAAAAGAGGAATCCGACTGGATTCCTCTGAATAAGGCCCTTTCTGTTCAGAAATGTGTCGGAATGACTACAAATCATGGTGAAGGCCATAAGAACTCCGCTGATAGTCTGGCAACTATTCTTGCCAACGGAAGAAAAAAAAATCACGGCCGGAAGTTTCGCCTTAGCAGGGGATCAGTATCACTTTCCTTCTCTACGCATATTTGATGCACATGAAAGATTTATGAACTCTATTCAGCCTCTCAGATTTCAATGCTCATTATAGCGGCCTGATTCTATTAGGTTGGCTAATAAGTAATGGTCGTTTATTTAGTACTGTCATTATTGGCAAGAAGGAGCGCTGAGAAAATACTCAACCACGTCCATTTTTCAGGTAGAAGAATTCAACTACGCGAACATATAAGACAAGGCTTTTCACATGGTGAAAAATTATGGCATGAATATAAACCACGTTTCACCACGAGACTTTGGCCACTCGCTTCACATCTTTGCTAAGCGCACTCTTTCAGTGGATGATGAGATTGCACATCAGAATAAGCGGCACTATTCAACTATTACTACCCCAGTTTTGCGAAAACAGGGCGGATCTTGATCGACTTTTTTCTACAGGGGCGGATTTGGCTGAAATTCGGGTTTTAGAGGTAATTCGACCTCCTGAACACGAATATCACATCCACTTGGCCTGAAAGTGTATGGCGCCCGCGCCACAGGCGCCAGTGATTTTGGCGGCATTTGGCGCCAAGCGCCGTGGCGCGGGCTCCGAGCGGTTTCAGGCCCGAGCGAGGCGTAATCGTGTTAATTGGGTCGAACTACCCTGCGTATTAAGTTTTAGCGGATTTTGGTGATCTATGGTTAATTTTAGCGCCAGCGCCATGTGGCGGCGGGCGCCAGGCAGTTTCGGGCGGCGATGGGAATGGTTCGGGTTCATGGAGGTCGAATTAAAAACCTTACAGGACCAACTTAAGCCAAATCTGCCACCCGTGGAGAAAAAGTTCCGGAAAATTTGGGGTATAATAGTTGAATTAGGTGCCGATATAATCATATGAACATGTTTCTTTTGCTACTATGCCCATAAATATCGCTTGAGGTTGAAGTTGTGTTATGCAAGTAATATCCACAGCGGGAAGCGGTCGGCAAGCGTTAATTGTACCGGATCGGCTCCTTTTCCAGGGCCAAGCAACCCTCTACTCTAGGTGTTGGCGGCGGATCGCGACGCATTCATAAGCTCCCGGACGATTGCAAGTTGTAAGTCTGTGATAGATTCGCTGCGGACGGTTGGGCGTGTCAGTGCGGCTGCGTTTGGCGCGGTGCCAAACTCGTTCTCCACCAGTTGTTGAAGCGGGCAAGTGACAATACTGTATCATATCCTTCGTATTACTCGTTTTCTACCACTTTTTGTCGCATGCGCGTTTCAACAAGAAGGCAGAGAACGGCTTTGACGGTGTGACACACTCATACTGGCTGACACGCCCAACCGTCCGCAGCGAACTAGAGTGTAGAATGGGTTGACGAGCTGTGAAATTTTATCATTTACAAATATTGCTTAGCAACCGCGAATAATTCTGCACCAGCGTAAAACCTCGAAAATCCGAGAGGCCAAATCACACTCGAAAGGCTATACCAATTGTGAGTGTTGATGGAATCGTAACTTCTAAGAACTTGATTGATTTTCTTGTAGACTAGATTTGCCACGGTTGTTTGTGTTCCATGCAGATGAAGAACGCCAAGGTCAGTACATGGGACAGTAATGCTTTAAAGGGCATTTCTATTCCAAAATATTTCCTGAAAAGTTCAACATTCCGAAGTGCGCGTGGTAAAGTATGCAGACACTTCAAAACACAACCTAGAAGCTAGAAAGACAATAAATTATTGAAGGAGTGAAAATGGATCTGCTCTGAAAGCCTCCACTTGTTAGTTCAAGCAGCAACCGCCGTACCCATTCCTTCCGCTAGTTTGCCTTTTGGCAGAAGCTTCATAGAATGCCATAGTTTTTTGGTTATAATTTATTTGCTTTTTTTATAGGAGATCCATTTCCTGGACATACTGGAAACGGTAAAGTATCAACACCCTCATCAGCACTCATGACTGAGGATAGCTTGCCGAGTCCACGCCCCTTCTGGAGAGGCAGTCCATTCAGAGTGCTGCTCCACTCGCGTGCTAACTCTACGCCCCTGCTCCTTCATTTTTACATTCAGTCAGCTCATTAAAGAAAAACCACAGCGTCAGCACTGAAATTGTATGTGAGGTTGAGGGCACATTCAGCCAGGACAGGTCAACAACTGATGGCAACGCTGTAACCATCTGAAAGACCCAGGAATTTAGGAAGGGTTTAGAACCGCTACGTATTATGTTGGCTCACTTCGCTGTCGATGGCCCCTGTGGAGCTAGCCTTATTTCGTTGAAACCCTTGGCGGAAACTATCTTTTTCACCATCTTTACCGTCTTCCGGTTGGGTCGTTGATTGGGCACGGGTCCGCTATCAGAATCATCTACCACGTGGGACAAATTTTCTAGCGTTGCCTCAATCCGTCGAATATTCAAATTCCTTTACAGTCTTGTTCGTTGTGGAGTTGGGATCTTCCGAGAAGGCTGGATTTGGCGCGGCGCCAGCTTGTTCTCCACCAACTGCAGTCGCCTCCACGATTGGTGGAGAGCAGGCACTGTACAGTGCCTCTGTAAAAGTACAATAAGCTCATAAAAGTTGCTATCAGTCTTCTCGCCTCCTTCGCAGAGGCACAATCAAAGCCTTGTGGAGTCAGACCTACAATAAATCTTTCCTCATTACCGTGTTTCTAGCTTCTGTGAAAACGAGCAGACGAGACACGTTAGTGGTAGGCCTGACTCCACCCACACAATTGACGTGAACGCTTCTCCTCTTATTTGGGTTCAAAACATTAAATTTGATGCTGAGCCTCCGATAGCGTGAACGAAAAATCAGTTCTTTCAGATCATCTGAATCAGCGTCAAAATGTTGAGCGCAGGTAAGAATTCACCGACATAATCAGAAGATTTGTTCAGTATTTTTTTCGAATCTTTCAAAAATCGAGTCCCGTACAGTCGCCTGGTTAGACTCGTCATGCTTCTAACGCGATATGAGGTGGACAGGGACGGTCATATTTGGCCTTTGTCGAGTGGTTTTTTCTGAACTGTTGAAGTTGTTGATTTTACCAGTTTTATCAGATTTTACCAGCTAATATACTCCTCCTCGACGGCCAAATTTCGGGAAAGTGTACAAGGCCTTTGGTAAGTTGTGATGAGATGTTAAGATGGTGGGTAAGTTGTGAGAGCGGATCGTACCGAGAGAGAAAGAGGAGGAGAGGAGGATTTGTGGTTTATAAAGTTTTTCCACAATGCGATGCTGTGATCTGCTCGGAGGGCTGAAGGTCTGGGTGAGACCGCATGGGAGACCCACAATTTTACTCCTTTGACTCCTAGACCGTGCGGGCGGTAAGTAGTGTCATTCATTCACTCCTACACTACCTCTGCGTATCGAATCGTGCACCACAGTCCGCATTCCTGAGACGCAAGGGGCGCGGCTGCGTACTCAGGGGCTCGGTACTTCATTTGAAAATGTGGAAGGATGGGTTAATTGTGAGACCTTTCAGTTTGAGGCCATTGTCATCTTGTCTAGTGGGCAAAGACATGGTAACAATGATGCCAAAACGAAAATTTTTCACAAAACGCGCAGCCGCCATCGCGCTCAACTGCAGTACGTGGCCAGCCTACCGCATTTTGGGGAATCACAGTATCCGGCGTTCCTATCGTTGCACCGTACAGTTTATAACGTTGCAATCAGTCAGGACGGTTTGAATAAAGAAGAGATGAGCCCACCGGCAACGTTTCCATCACTGAGTAAAGCAAGGCAGCCGGAGGGGCTCATTCCGCCCTTCCTGACACCGCCGCGACTGACCGCGACGTTAACTGTCATAGTGATATGCCAACATTTGTCCACGCCTTGTCCCTAAAACGGTCAGCCGAAAGGGTTACCTTGAATTAGTTCAAACCTGATCAAGAGAAAAACCTGTGTAACCACCGAAATATGTTAACGAAGAGTATGTTCGTGCAATAAGCGGACAAGCGGGTCAGGATAGTATCAAGGATATCACCTTGGGAACTTCTGAAGTTTTCACCCTTGCTAGCCCAATTATTAATATGCTTTATTCATTACAGCTTCCATTTGCTTAATTTTTTTGAAAGCCATAAAAAGTCATTAAGAAGTGAAAGAAACACTCGCGCCACGCTACGATGCCCTGGAAAAGCACTGTCAAACTGGCGATATGGAAAAAGCTGCCGAATTCTATCACAGCGACGGAGTAATGATTGAGAAGGGAGTGTCGGTTGCGTATGGAAGAGCTCGTGAGTCTCATAAGAGTAAACCGAAAATTCCGTACAGTACAGTAGACATCAGTGAAAATCAAACCTTTTCCGGCCTCTACAGAACCTCTATTAGATGTAATTTGTCATATTACTTGTTTGCTTACTTGTCTGGAAATGTAATTCACTTGGTGGGGGGACGAGTCAGGGTTGGGCTTATTCGGGCATGGGACAATATGAGCGAACTCATGAACCAAGCACTGCCTATTATAGGGAACGACTGTCAGAGGTGAGCGTTTTACAAGGCGAAAATTCATAGTGCGCATCCAGAAGAGGCCAAAGACTGGGAAAAAGAGGATAAAGGTAAGTTGTGGGTAGACGGATGAAATGAGGATATACCCTGGCAGGGGCAGAGCACATCATTGGTTGGGGATTTTAGTCGACTCTATACTATTTTTTTGGGAGTTAGTACGACCCCCCCCCCACAGCCCTCTGTCCTTCCTCATCGAATCGAGCGTGAGCGGGGGGGGGGCATATAATGCAAATAATACGTGAAACAGGAAAATCACCAAAAGTCAACCGCCACTCCCACAACGCCAAAACGTAAATACGACCCCCCTCCCAAAAATGATCAAATACGACCCCCCCCTCCCCTCCTCCCTTTACAACGTCCATGAAGCGAGAAAAATCAACTATCAAAATAAATTTTTCTCAGCCCAAATACGACCCCCCCTCCTGGCGACCAAATACGACCCTCAATATTGGGGATTCCCCAACAACGATGTGCCCTAGGCACGGGGCGAGGATTACTCGTGATGGACGGTGCTTCTGTATGTGGACACCTGAGGAAGTCCAAAGTTTGGCTCCAGATCTGCAATCCATTTTTATGGTCTCTAGTCCCCATTAACCTGTACTCATGCCTCGTCGTGGTAGTCCTCCCTACGAAGACGAACAAGCTCGGATTCGAGCTTTCAGTGCTGCAGGACACTCGAATAGAGAAATTGCAAGATAGCTTGGACTTTCGGCGACGTGCGTTGGTATATACCTCCAGAATCCTGATGGCTACCACTCAGTACCTGTTTCGAGGCACCCACGATCTTTGTCCGCAAAAGACATCAGAAGAATGGCCTCAAACTCCCCGCTTTCTGTGGCACAGATCCATGCCGCGATGAATCTACCGGTCTCAAAAATGACAATATGGCGCTCTATTCGATCAAGTGAGCACATCACTCGAGAGACCATGAAGAAAGCTCCCTGTCTGACTGCCAAGCACCAGCTGGCAAGACTGAACTTTGCGCGTGCAAAAATGGCGACGTCGTGGGACAAGGTGCAGTTTCTTGAGATATTTGTAAAATCAGAAAGGCAACTTATGCGCATTTCTTTCTTAGGTTATCTTCACTGATAAGAAAAAGTCAATCTCGACGGTCCAGATGGATATCAGCATTACTGGAAAGACCTTTGTAGCGATCCGTTGATGTTCTCGAGACGAAATTTCGGAGGCGCCTCTTTGATGGTACGGGGTGGTTTTGGAAGCAGAGGAAAGTTGGAGCTTTGCTTAGGAGGAATTCAGCAATAGAGGTCTCATATCGCAAAGTACAAAGGCAATTTTGCAGGACAAAAATTTGAGTGTCCACATGCTTTTGTTACGCGCTGTATGTAGTTTGAGGATCGGAGGAAAATGGATGTAGAGGAGGGACATTTCTGGGAATTGCGCTGATGCAGCTGTCTTGAGCTTTTGTACTGCATCCATCTGTCTGATTACTCGGTTTGATTCGCTGCTGGGTGGTATTTGGTTACCAGTTGCTTTGATACGCTGCCTCGGTACCTGCACCCTCATTCCTTGAACTTACCCAGAACGGAGCCCTGTTACTGGTGGGAAGTGCTTTCCCTACATACCTGAATTTCCCTTATGAGAAGTGCTATAAAGGGTTGGGACTCATTTGGAACAGGCCAGCCCGAGCTTTGTAGTGGTCGTGGTTGCATAAACTAGGAAAGGCGCGCCACACCCTAAATTTGAACGCGTCTTAGGACACCATATACGTGGCTTTCGTGGGGTAGAACTAGTTGAAAAAGTGAAAGGTAGTAATAGTAAACTGGTAGGAAACAAAAATTTTCACACAAATCAAAGTCAATGATCACGTCGGTGGCGAGTCTCCTAGAATTTTTCAGAGATCAAGAACGCCATGCAGAAGTTATGGGACCAAACGGGGCCGCAGAAGTTTACGGCAAGTACAACTATTGAAATAATTCCTTGCTGCGATCACACAATTGGTTTTCACAACGTTAGTGAAAAATGAGTGTTTTTTTAGAAATTCAACGAAAAATACGAAGGCTGTGAGGACTTTCTAATTCTCACCTGCGAGTCCACAATGAGCTCCGTGAAACGTGGATCGGAAACCGCCAAAGTGGTTCATATCTGGAAGAAAGACCAAGGAAAGTGGACGATCTATCACGAGGAGTACGAAGTGAAAAACTGACTTCGCTCGTGTTCATTTTCGTCGAACGAATAAAGCAAATGTTGTTGAAGTGGTTCATGGAGGAGTTCAACTGAAGGAACGGTCGGCTATGACCAATGAAAGTGCGAAAGATTGGGTGGTAAGGGGTGTGTGGTCCGCAGTGGGCAACCTTTGCCAACTTTTGTAAGCTAACGGAGTTGAGGCGCAATGTTGCTCCAGCAGTTCGACCCTTTGCTTGGTGACTCCGCCTCCAAACTCCGCCTACAGAGCCCCCTCCGAACCAAAAGGGATGCTACCGGACAAGAAGCATGAAATGGTTGCTCTTCTCCCACACATGAGATCTTACCATTAGGGTTCATTACAAGGATTAGCCGACCGGACTCGTTTCAACACGCTGTCCTTAAGCCTTTTAGAGGAGAGCCCATATCCTCTTCTAAACCAAAGTGGTGAAGAGCGTAATCAGAAAACTGTTCTGCTAGTAGGTTGTCAAAACGGTCAAAAAAATGAAGCAGTCATGCTGGTGATGTAGTGATTTGAAAATTAAGATGCTGTAGTGGTTAGTAGATGAGAATGTTGTCGGCTTAAGTTGAGCAGGAAGTCGAGGAAGATGCATTGAAACTAGTTATAAAGGAGAAGCTACGGAAATTATGCGACTGTTTGCTTTGGTACTGTGTAAGCTTCAGTGATCCAAAGCCAGTTCTTCAGGCAGAAACGCAATCAGTCCAAGTGCAACCATAGCTCATGGTAATACGGTTCAGAAATAGAACTGCCGTTGTTTGTTAACTTATTGAAGGAGAAGGAAGCACCCGGAATAAAACCCTCTCTATTGCAATTGATCATGATCACCGGACGAGCGTAAGGTGGTCAAGATCAATTGTGAATTGCGAAAGGCGGCGATACACTGATAAGAGACGAGAGAGGCCAGAAAACGACGGGCGAGAGAGCGCAATGGCAGTCTCACAACGACACGGTCACTGGAGGCTGGTATGGGCCTGTCGGCGCTGCGTTTTGTTGCTGTTTTTCAAGTTTTAAAAGCGGAGCTAAGACTTTTCTGTGATTATTATAGAATGATGATTGTTTTATCTTTTCGTTCAATGCTGTTTCTTTTTAAAGCATTTTCTCTTTTTTAGTGCAGAGTGCACAGTAACAGATTATATTTTTGTTCCCTTTAGTGTACCAAGCAACTTCGTAACGGTGGAGTCTCGTCTATATTTCTATTCTATAGTCAACCAGCGAATTCTAAAACCGATTTCCTGAGTCGGGGTTGAAGTCATTGTTTTTTTTCTATTTTGATGGAGTGATGTGGTGTACGTCCTTAGAGAAGAATGTAGGATCTGCAAGGCATGCGAGATATTCAGTAGCCTGATCTTCGAGGTTCGCCGTTACAAGTTTAATTTTTGCCGACTAATTTGACTCCATATCGGACTCGCTTGATATGTTGTCTTTGAATGGTTCATTTGAGAATTATGGTTCGTCTATCCATGTTCCACTAACCCGATGCCATTCAGGATTAACGTCGAAGCCCACCCTGCTTTAAAACTTTTTTTACATTTTCTATGTTACTTTGATTTTCAGTGTCAGAAATTAGCTAAAGTGTTTAGGTATTGAGAGCCTTTTTTATTATTAGATGAGCAAATTTGTTGTCATAACGTTTTGCATGTTGTATTTTATCATTACGCTTCTACATCTGCTTACCTGTTAATGCATGTTAACTGATAGGATCAATTGTAAGCGCCGCTAACTTTCTTTCACTTTCGGAAATATGTGTTCTCTTTTTAGATTTGGTTCGAATATGAATTATTTGTTTGTCTGTATAGTGTTATGGTTGCACTCAATAAACGGGTTTGTTCTATAAGGGTTTGCAGCAGGAGAATAGAAGTGGACAATAGTTCTGTCGAAGCGGTGGTCATAGATGATCACCGATGATCGGGAAATCGATTCAAAGCAGAGTAGAGAAATAACAGCAGGGGTGGCTATTCAGCAACTTTTTTCCTTCCTTTTTTGTCACTTTTATTTAGTGTCAATGATTGTGTATTGTGCGGTAAAATCGCCGATGGGAGGACCATGAAGAGCATGTCCCCTGCGAAGAAAGTGAACCTTGTTATGGTGGGTTCCCTTTCTTTGCATGGGGTCGTGGACGAGATGCACGTGGATGAAGTGATTAATATGATCAGCCAGAGTAACAAATTTCTCTGCCACTCCCATGTGGTACAAGCTGTAAGTTCGCATTAAGTGCTCATGAAAACCTCACTAGAGTATGCCTACATAATCAGGCCCAGTTTCTCTGTGCTGAAATGGCCGTCTGTGGAAGACGATTGTCCTACTACGAAGACCCTTCCGCAGGACGGCATATCGCGTATGTCACCACGGCAGACATAATGCCGCATCTCGTCGAGGCAATCAACGGATTGACTAGAGTAGGCTTTCTGTATGGTTCGGGATCCGACATTGTGTAAAAATTAATCGTTAAGAGTGATGTTGTCATCAAAGTAGGCGACATCATGTTGTTTGTAAATGGCGCCCTGAAGAAGACCTCTTCTGAAAGAATCTCGCCTGTTTTCGTCCTCAACTGGTGCATTTGCCTTCTTCCTTTCCACCCTTAGGTTGACCAGCAGTACGCGAAGCGTCTGAAATACGTGCAAAAATACCCACACCATCGGCTATCAGATCTAGGCTACCTCAGGGTCCAGCACCACTTTATGAAATGAAGGATGCTGGACAATGCATTGTCCACCGTCCTTCAACTTTTCGCGTAGCCCTCTCGACGCTTCCGTGCCCTGTCCTTCTTCCAGTGCTTCTCGACAGCAAACGTTCTCGCGAATCCTGGTGAACGACTTACAGGATCCGCACGAGCACCACTGCTGGTTTCCCAGCCTGGATGGGGGTAGTTCCCTACCCAGAAGAAGGCATAACCTAAAACCACACTCATACTTATTGATTTCTATATTGATTTCTCACCTTTCATTATCTTTAGCCTTTCTTCGTGCTTCCCTCTCCCTTTCCCTCCTCGTCACTCTCTCCACCAGTTCCGGATCTGGATTCCCCATCGCAATGGGACATGGAATATTACGTCTTGATTGCATCACTGAAACCGGACTACAGCTGCGCTACAATGCAACTTCGTAAGGTGAGTAAGTACCATTTAATGAAAGAAATCGAGACTGGGTGTGTACTACACCGTCTATTTCAGAACCCTCATCATCTTTGGTTGGAAATGTCATCTTCAGTCTCCAACTTACCTCTTCGTATAACATCGGCACTGTTGTAAATTTGATGTTCTAGTACTTCTGCACCATCGATGTTTGTGGGTGGATCCTTATCCCGTGAATGAAGATCCACCTACAGATCTTCTTGGCACAGAAGTAATAGAACATGTCATCTTAAAAATCAGCTACATCCTAATGATTTCTAATGTGACCGTGGACGAATGTCACGTTCATGATTGATGTACAAATTGATATGGTTGTTCTTTGATAAACTTGAAAATCAAACACTTCTTTCATCATCAGGAATACTACAAGTACGATAGAACAATGTAACTAACAACTGTAAGTAGTTTCCGGTAACGGGTTATATACCATCCAAAACATCGCTTTGAATGCTAACGATCAAACTTCATTGAACTTCATGCAAGAAGAAAAGTTTTAAAAATACTTCATGTGCACGTGTAAACCATATAGACAAAACATCAAACTGCGCCATACGAAATCTAGCGAAATGACAATCTAAAAATACGGAAATAATAGAAAAAATGGCAACGATGAAAAGCAACATTACCTCGTTGAACATTGCTTCATAAACATTCACACAGACTCCCACTGATTCAAACACTCTCATAAGGGAGGAAGGGTACAGGGAATGCTGTCGTGCCAATGTAAAGTTGAATAGGGTCAGAATCCATCAGGTTCTGCCACTAATCAACCCCCACTGGCAGAGAACAGCGAAAAAAAAGGGGGGGGGGCAAGAATAGAGAAGTGGGTGAAGCTGAACAGAACACACAGACAGACTCGCACTCATTAAACACTCACACAGGGGTGAAGGGAACAGGGATTGCTGTCGTGCCAATGTAAAGTTGAATAGGGTCAGAATCCATCAGGTTCTGCCACTAATCAACCCCCACTGGCAGAGAACAGCGAAAAAAAGAGGGGCAGGGGGGACAAGAACTAAGGAGGTGTGGGAAGTGAAAAAGTGCCATACAAAGGTAAATAAACAAGAACAATAAGAGGAATTCACCTAAAACTGCGGTTCCTGGTCCTCACGAGTTCACGAGCCGTTGCTTGTTTCTTTTTCAGCAATCTCCGATATTTTCTTTGCCTGAAAATAACTTTGCTAACCACAGCTCCTTGAAAATATTTCCCCGAGTAAACGAGATTCTCAATTTAGAAAACTTTCGAATAGAACATGAAGAAACTCCTTGTCAGGAACGCTTGGTCAAAGGAATGGTGCGACCATATAAGCTTTAGCTGGCAAGCAACAAAAAATTGTGGAAGAGATTTTTCATCTTACCAAGAAAAGCTCTGCTCTCAAGCCTCTGTCTTTGCGGTTCTTTAACTAGCAAATATTGGAGAGCTACTCTATCACCCAGGGGGGGGGAGGGGGATGAGCGTCGTACACAAACCTAATACAAGGAAACTTTTGAAGATATTGCATGAGTGTTGGAAGCATGCAGGCGTGCTCGCTTCGGATGCTGGTGCGAGTCAAGGACAGGGGGGGGGAGCTGAGCATGGCGTGGCGTTAAGTCCTCTCCGGCAATTGCTGAAGCAAGCAGGCGACAACAATCGGTTGAAAAGGGGCCGGCGCTGCGCCAAACCAAGCCTCCCTGACACGTCCAATATCCGCAGCGAACAAGAATTCACCTCTATTGCCTCAATATTAGCAAAAATGTGCTCATAGAAATCGATCCTAACAAAAAGCGAACAGGATAAGAAAGTTAGGAAAAAGAGAAACAATTGATAAGTATGAGGGTGAACGATTGTTTTTGTCCAACGATCACATCCGCATGATTATTGCTGCCCCGGACTGCGATAGCCCCCAAATTGAAACAAAAGTCGTCACAGAAATAAGAAATCTTAATATTGCTATCAGGAAACACTCGCTCAAAATATAAAATATAAGAAATAGCGAACATCAAAAGAAAAGAAATGAAATAGCCTGATAAATGGCACCAAAATAAATGAGGAATAACAAACGCAACAGGGATTTCATTCCATTATTGATCGCCTGTTGGCATTAGGCCACCAGCCTACTGCCAACAGGCGCTGCGAAAAACTCGTCCGGGGCACGCCTTCGCTGCGCCTGGAGCCCGTACAAACGCGGGTTCAGCATAGGGTTCTATATAGGACTATCTCATAATTTCATTTTGATTTTTCTTCACTAATGTGTTCTTTGCTAACCGATTATCACTGTGCGACCCACATAACCCATCAAATTTGAACGCGAGCGCTGCCTTTAAAAAGAGGATGAGCAGCATACACACCGCATAAATGCGAGTTAAATGAGAATGTGAGTTAAAGAGGCAGGATAGAATTCCGCGACCCTCGGCAGGCGCTGTATATATTTCCGCGGTTTCCCCAAGGGAGGTGCCCTTATAAGGTCCAATCGAGCTACAACATACCGACCGAACGCCCACCGCGCCCGCCCGCCCACAAATGGACGACCGTACCTGATGCTCGTATTGCTTCATTTGCTAAGTATGAAGCGAAGGACTTGTATGAAGCTGCCGTGGTGCTGCATAGATCTATGAGCATATACATGCAGCCGTACCTACCCTAGCAGTCATTGGCACTACGGAAAACCACGTCTTCGGGAAACTCGTCCTAAATTGCTTCTCGAATCATGAAGAACGAAGGCTTTTCTTCGCAGGTTTTATGGTTTCGCTTCATTTTTTCTGCATATTCCTGCTACGTAGCACCCCTGCTACCAGTTTTGGCAGAATACCAAATTGTCGTGCCAACTGCCTGTAATCTGCAGAACTACAAGAGCTGCTGATCACTGCACAGTCTTAACTGCTCTTTCAGGCCAGATTTGAAATTTTAGATGCTTTCTAAAGAAAACCAGGGTACTGGTCGTTTCACATAGTCGTCGTCGTCGTCGTCGTCGTATAGTCAGGAATGCGAGCGTCACTCACTATGTCTCCCTCTAGTCTCACGTGTTAGGGTCCTACACCATTTTACTGCATATTGCATAAAATTATTATTATCGCTATACAGGGTCCTACACCATTCTACTGCATATTGCATAAAATTATTATTATCGCTATACCTTTGCGTCGTCTTTATTGTTGTATACTATTATTAAGACAGCTTGATGATGGATAATATTCTACAGCATATTGTGCTACAATTCTGGATTGCATCACTCATTGCATGATTATAAAGAAATGCGAAAGCGTAGAGGGTAAAATTCGGAGAACGCACAGCCTTTTTGCTGCATCATTGGAGAAACCTCGCGATTCCATCTTCGTGGCATTCAGTTACAAGACATTCACATCCGCTCTCCACCAGTTAGCTATGGCAACACATGTACGTTGCTCGTTGCAGGCTGGCTCACTGCTTACCTATCCATCAATCTACGACTCCCCATGCTGACAAGTCCCAAGCACTGAGGTGCCTCGGTTGGAAGCAAAATGGACCGTAAACGCATTAATGGAAATGTCAAATTATTGCGCCCACACAGCTGCAGAAGCAACCATTCAGCACCTCCAGCGAAGCGTAAACGCAACAATGAGTCAATCAGAATCTGCCAGGCAACGGATTATTTGTTTTTCCTCATCTTCAACTTGTTTTATTGGCCTGAAACACCTTGCGGCTTACAGAAGGACGGTCATTAATCATACCAGAGTGGAGCATGTTCTTGAAGAATTGGGTGATTGATGATTCAGGGACCGCCTTTTGATCTACCTGGAAAGCATTGAAGTTACTGGAAACAAACTCCCATAGCTACATCTTACCCTTCTAACTGTAAGAATGAATATACGCTCTGCTGACTATATATCAACTGCTAAAAATTGCCCATCTATTACACCTCAAGGAGGGTACCTTTCCTCTCTTGTTACTCATTTATACAAATGATCTTGTAAAGACCATCAAACATCGCAGTAATCGTAATACTGCTATAAATCCTTACGAAGAGTGTAAACGGAACAATGCTCAGACGCTTTCTAATTTTAATTGTGCTACTAATCAAATGTAGCTATGCTGTAATCAATGGGGGCTCAGGATTAATACACAAGAGCTCATATATTTCTACACGGGTCGTCTTCGCTCAAAGGCAGTTGGCACGATGATTTCCTGCTTAGTCTAAAATGCTAGTAGGTAGTGTATAGTGGGGAATGGCGAAAGAACGGAGTGAAACGGTCAAAATCCTGCGAAGAAAAGCCTCCGTTCTCAGTGACTTGTAAATCGATTTCGGACGAGTTTCCCGTAGGCATCTTACCAATCACCGCTACCGAAGATACGGCTGCATATGTGTACCCATGTATGCATGCAGCATCACGGCCGCTTCATACCAATCCCTTCGCTTCATAATTTGCTTAGCAAATGAATGAATACGAGCGTCAGGAACGGTCGTCCATTTGTGGGCGGGCGGGCGTTTGGGACGTAAAGTTGTGGCTTGATAGGGCCCTTATAAGGGCACCTTCCTCGGGGAAACCGCTATGCAGCGCCTGCCCAGGGTCGCGGAATTCTATCCTGCCAGGAGTATTGATCCTAGTCGTCTTGGGGGATTTATCGTGCCAACTGCCTTTAAGGTTCAATTCCCGACAACACAGTTTTGGAGTGGTTGAACAATGTTAAAGATTTAGGTATCAATCTTACCGAGATCTGAATTGATCATTCCATGTCAAAAATGTCAACTAAAGCTCTGAAGCTGATACACGTTTTGTACAGAATATTCATAGCTCAGACTTTCCATTTGGATGAAGATCTATAAGACAAATGTTCTCCCTCATCGATTACTGCATCAGTTGGAAAGAGATATTCAAAAAAAGATCGAGAATGTGCAAAGAACATTGGCAAGGACTACAGTGAATATCCCATACCGCAGGCTCTTACTATTACTAGCTTTCAAGATTTCAGAGATACGAATCATGCCATCTAGATGGGTTTTTCGGCAAACAAATGAATGAAAAAATACATTTTGAAGCTATAATCACAAAATGGGCAGATGTTAACATTCAAGAACTAATTGTTTCATTCTCCGTACGACTTAGTGGCAAGGGACTCCCAATTATCAACTCGAAGCAATTCATATTTAACAAAGCTAGAAGTATTACCAACGTTTCTTGAAATATCACTGTCATACCTCAGCTTCAACTTTGACTGTCAAGCGGATCATTTCTGCAAGGTTTATCTAGTGGCGTTTTGAGATAGAACTACGAAAATGAAATACATACGCAAAAGATAAGACGACGCATGCTTCTTGTCACGTCCCTTACTAGTCTACTTACCCACACGTCTTGCTTGGTGTTTCCACGTGGGCGTCGGCATACCCATGTTTCGGAGTCTCAGCCAGAGTACCTTTGACCCTGTACATGGCGAGTGGGCATCACAGCCGAATGCAGGTGATCTAGGATCTATCGCTTTGGGTTCTGGCTTTATGCTTCTTGTAATATTGTGGTCCATTGTCCAATCAGCCAGCATTAATGTGAGTTCAGGTCTGCTGAACTGGCGAAGCATCCGCCAAATTTAAAAAAAACGCCCCTCTACCTTTCTTCTCGCACAACACAATCTCGTCAATATCCATGACTGCTGCAGATATATGCTATTCAGAGGCATCCGCAGCGCTAAGTA